TCGCTCTCTCTCTCTCTCTCTCTCTCTCTCAGTGGCGGATGCTGGTCTGTCAAGGAGGGGAAGCTCAGTTTCGGCCTACAACATAAAATGTGTCCGTTTATTTATACAGTACGTGGATTCTACTCTCCGTTCCTTTTCAAGAAAATTATCTGTGACCCTGTCATACCAACAAGGCGTCTTTTCCAGGGACTTAACTAGTGTCCTACAACTACAGCAACTACAATAAAACCCACCAGAAATAAAAGATTAATTTGTCGCTAGTCGTTTTCAACAAAGAGAGTGTCGCTCAGATGATTAGAAGAAGTCTCCAGTTCAACTCAGAACAGAATGAGAATTGAAAAATGTTCCCACGGTGCCTACACTAAAAGATCGGTGATTTGCTCATTTCGCTGTCAATCTAAAAGAGATTCAGCCTCAGACAGATCATCCAATCATCATGCAGAAAAGCTCAGCGTCCGGGCCCGCCCATAAACGCCCACTGTCCATAGACTCAGAGAGTCGCTGAGCGTCCGATGGGCGGGACAAAAACAGCATTATTCAATGACTCGTCGTTTCAATGCATTGGGGCAACCGACACTGAACCCTCTTGACGCCCAGTCTCTGCGCTGGAGACGCTCAGCGTCCACACTGTTTAAAGCACAGTGAAACTGCGGGAATGAATGAGAAGAGAGTCGCGTCGTAACCAGTAATAAGAACCTGAATCGGAAAAAAAGTTGATCGCATTGTAGCGCATATTTAGTCAATGACATGTACACATACCTGTCAACCTCGGCTAATAGCTGCCCTTATAAATGATTACGATTCCCCTTACAAAGCAACAAAAACCCGTACATGTTTACCGCGCATGCGCACAACATGCTTTATCAATCCGACCGTACACGCAGCGATGAAAAAAAATTACGATACGATTGAGGATTACTTTTGCTGGTTTGCCGTGACTATAGTAGCGATTGACGACGGCATTGTCGTTGGCTACCAGCAGGTGAGACGATCTGGATTTGAGCCAAAATGGTCTTTGTGAGACCGGTTCACTGATCTTTGTGAGATCTCTTCACAATTGTTTTTTTTTTGTATAAAAGTTGGAATACGCCGTACATGATTTGAAATGATAAAAAAAAAAAAAAAATGTATAAAATACGGGGAAAACGTACAAGTTGACAGGTATGTGTCCACACAATTGTATGTACACACATGTATTTAATCACTTATTTTTGGACATTATAGGGGAAGCTGAGCTTCCCTTGCAGTCTTAGAGCAATCGCCTCTGCTCTCTCTCTCTCTCTCTATATACATACATACATACATGCACGCACGCACGCACGCACACACACACACACGCACACACACACACACACTTTTAGACCAGAGTCCCTTCAATTTCCAGGTATTCTCACTAAAAGTTTCTGGTTAAGAACCCATCCGATCATTGTGTACTGCTGACCCTCACGAGGGTTAGTTCGAGCCTATCTGTGCTGACTTTGGGGCAAGTGGTGAGGTACACTATCAATTGGTCACCAGGGCTGAGACAACCAACCTGCAGGCATGCACACCTACAAACAATTTGATCATCACTTAACCCAAAAACCATCTTTAAGAATACAGTAGCCACACAAGCACAAGACAGAACATCCAAACTCCACGCAGGAAGCTCGCTGCCCGGATTCGAACCTCCAACCTCCGAACTGTGGGGCGAACAAACTAACCACTCTGTCACTGTGACACCCCAACATTTCCAAAATTCCTCATCTTAACGACCCATGGAAAGTTACCAGGAAGTTTCATTCCTTTGCAAAGCTACCTGTGAAACAATAAAAATGACACACATTTATAAAATGTCATTTTAATTACCGGTACTGTAGAAAAAAATATGATGCACACTTGCACAATGTGTGTATTATGAATTTTACAGTTCAGAAATATCACTGAATTATAAACAATAAAAAGTGATGATTTAAATAAAATAATTATTTTGCTCCATGATAGAAAACAATGACATGACAAAATATTTTTTTCGTGTTTATGGTTTTTCCATTCTTTAAACGTAAGTCTTTTTCACATTTTGTGACCCATTATCTGTATACACACTCACACGCGCGCACACACACACACACACACATATATATATATATATATCAAAACCACTTATTTCAAGCATTCCATTGCCATTCCGCTTCACAGTTATATGCTACACTGTGTTTGCCGTTCCTATAAAATCACAATAAAAAGATTGCAGTTTGTCGTCGTAAGGTGTGAAAAAGTTAAATATGAATACTCATACAAATCACTGTACACGACATTATTAGTACCAACTGCATGTGCGTATTTACATACAACATTAGCATTTATGTTGATTGATAATCCTCCAGTGACCCATGTTGGCCTTGAGCAGCTTGACAGTCACGGTTGACTGCTGACAGTGCTGACAGATGGGTTGTACGGAATGATGACACAGAAAACACAGCCGGCCTCTTGGAAAGCTTGTCTCATTGGCTCCTGATGGGACAGACAAAAGCGACATCAGGCAACCAGATATTGTTCGCTTTACTTTCGACTAGGAACTGAGCTCTGCCAACTTTGTACTTAGTATGAACATGCTGGTAACAACCATTGTGTATCCTAGTGGGAATCCTCCAAATATTGATAATACATATACTACTAGTAAGTACAGATAGATACACTTGCATAGGAATAGTAAGACTTGTGTAGACTGAGATTTTTTTTCAGTATTTTAAAATAATTTTATGTCAGGTTTTCCCCTCCCATTTTCTGTGTATTGAATGTTAATCGCAGTGTTGGGGATAATTGTTTTTAGGGTTTAATTGTCTTTCAATGGGTGTCAAATATTCACAAATTTTGGATATTTGTGGGCCGAGCAGGTCCCAATCCCCCACGAATCACGTGAATTGACTGTACAGTAATTAAAGAAGTTCTTTGAATAGTATGAATAGATTTGTCCATTCTGATTGGTTCAGTGATCAGTTTATCTTTTTTGGTTTTGTTTTTTTCGAACTCATTGAATGAACTTCTACACTCTCTTATTTCATCAAACTAAAGGTCCACTAGTTTCATGTAAACATACAGACAAGCCCTTAATTATTCATACCCCAGGTGTATGAAGCCCGTCCTATTTGACTCAGGGGAGATGTAAACTATTAGACTGATCGATCACAGGGCGACAGCAGTTTGGGGCACGATGCGAATTCAAGCTTTGTTAACTAATGCACTTCCAATGAATATCACATATATGCATTGTCTTGCCCTATTCAGAGTCATGGGGGATTTGGAGCATACTACAACTGACTAAAGCGGAAAAAAGGGCTATTGTACACCCTGGAATGAACACCAGTTTTTCACAGAGTTATTGTGGGAGAGGAATTGAGCCCACTCCAATATACAACACTAACCCCAGACATGACAGATATGATGATGTGAAAAAGAGGAAAGGGAGTGACTGTGACCCTTGAGCAAGTTCAGCTGAAATGTTAGGGACACACTTCCCATGCTTTGTGGCGCATGACTGAGTTGGGGGTGTTGCCCTGATCAGTCATATGAGCAGCAGCAACATGAAAAAGCAGTGTCTATAAATTTGACTCCAAATGGTCAAAACGGTGGTGTACATAAAAATATGACTTTGTTTTGATCGTAGTATGTGAAAGAATCACTGAATTAACGAGTACAAATTCACAATATTAAAACATTAAATACAATCAATTGAATGAAGCTCGGAGCCAAATAACTTTTAATCGAGTACAATATTTTATTTTTTGTTTTTACTTCTCCAATAAGTACATTTGTAGAGGACAGCTCGGTTGCATTTGACTTTGGTGGGGTAAATATGCTTTTTAGGACTAAGACTTCAACCAATGCATCGTTTCACTATTTTAATGTTACCCATTTTGGTGCTACTTGCAGAGCTAAATATCTTTGGAGGTGGTACATGGTGTAATAAGGTTGAAAAGCACTTCCCTCGATTAAGGTGACTGGAAATATTCTGTGGGGTAAATCTTACCAGTTTTTCTGGGTCTAGACACAATCCGACCACTGCCCCTCCACTACCTGGTAACTTCACAGCTGAGCCAAACTGCACGAAGCAGAGAGCATTAGAAGAAAGAACATAACACAAACGTGAAATTGAATGCTTTTGAATAAAATATGAACTTTATAAGTAGAAAGATAAATCTCTCACACCTCCTTCGCTAACGCCACCATCTTGAGGTTGCCAGGACCAAGGCACTCATCGGTGTACACGGACCTGTACGAGGTATTGTTTCTGCTGCTTAAACATCCTTGTGGAAATGTGGCTCGACAGACGGCAGTTTTTCCATGTTTCAATATTTATCTTATCATCCCCAGATACTGAAAAGAAACATCTCTGAGATACAGTAATCCCTCGTCACTTTGCGCTTCACGTTATGGGCTTCAGTGCTCTGCTGGTTTGTCCAAAATACTGTATTCATTGAAAAAACAAAAAATAAGATTTTTTAAAAAATGCAGCCATATCGGCAGCCATATTGCGGAAAGACGCGTTGTTTTCTGTTGATGCGCTCTCGAGAAGGTTTCTGCATGCCGAACAGAGATATGAGTTGACTCATTGGCTTTGCAAATGTCCGTACTGTAGATGCCACTGGCATCGACCAGAGAGAGCACGAGTGGATTTATCCCGTGAGCTGATTGGCTGCACATCATCGCAGTCCGACCCACCAGCACCTTCTCTTGTTTTGTCTCGTGACGCTGTTGACTGTCTCACATACTGTATCTTAGTGTTGTGTTCGCGATAACTTTTTTTGATTAGTTAAGCTGCACTCCAAGCTCTTGCCGCCGTTGAATGCCGCCATCGAAGCTATGTGTCCAGGGTGTGTGGGAGCATGAAAACCCTGCTCATCCCACCAAGGAGATGGCACCATCAGCAGGGACACATTGCTTAAACTGCGGCAAGAGCCTTAACAGGGTTGGCAAGCCTTATTTTGAAGGTTTCCCAACCCAGTCAGCTGTTTTTTTTTTTTTAGACACGTCACAAGGAAGCAGTGACAGCTCAGATGAAGGCTGAAGTGACAGCCGAAACTGTCAGCTGGGTAAGAGGGTTTTTTCTTTAAAAAAATAAATAAAAATTCTGATTAAAAAAAGACACCTATTTCAACTAAGAAGACAAGATGAATGTAATAGGGCTACCTATCACCATGTTGTTCTCCAATTTATAAACCTACACCATCAGCGCCTCCAGCAGAAGAGTCTCGCGTGAACCAAAAGCCTACGAGTCAAGTGAGAGCCTTCTTCTACGCCGGGGTGTCAAACTCATTTTTGGCGCGGGCCACTTTGGAGGTACATCTTCCCTCGGAGGGCCGTTACGAAATTGACGCCGAATAAATGTTTAATCATCACATCGTATTATTACTTGTACACAAAAGAAGTGATGGCTCACTAGTTTTGAAATCAATCAAGTATTTGTTCAAGTGAGTGTAAACCAGGTCACAAAGTTATTGCAAAATGTCACCGATATTTATTACATGTGACAAGTTGAGATTTCGGTACGGATTTAAGCAAGGGTCATGGAAGTTGACACATATGATTTGCTTTCGCGGGCCACATAAAATAACATGGCGGGCCGGATCTGGCCCCCGGGCCTTGACTTTGACACCTGTGTTCTACGCCATCAACACAAGCCTCTTTGCCTTTCTCAGAAGACAATAATGATAAATGTGAATAACTGTACAAGTTTTTATAATTAAAGACTTAAGTAAATAGGCGTACTGTTGTAATCGTCTCAAATATGTCAAGTATACATGCTGTTTACATATTTTAGACATGCTGGTAGCCACATACATGACAATTCCTGGGGGTTCGGAGGGGTTAAATCCTTCTTTGTGGTTTTTCCCCTTTTGCGAGGGGCTCTGGTATCCATTAACCGTGAAAAATGAGGGATTACTGGATGTCAAGATTAATTGCCCTTGTCCAGTTGGCAGATTAGTTTGTTATATTACAGTAAATGATAACCATTTTCTCTATCTTGATTTTCAAAGCTGTTTTTTCCCCCATTGAACCTTTAAGCAGAAATATAAATACAAGAGACATTTCTGTTTATGTTTATGTTCTAGGACAGAGTATTTCTTAAAGCCTCAAGAGAATACTTGTGACGGTTAAATCTTTAATATTCCGCATTACAAATAATTTTGCAATCCTACTAATGTATCAGAGTAGACGGTTTACCTCCTTAGCTCAAAGTTGTGGTCCATTAGTTGTGCCAGACGGTTCCAGTCTTTTTCCATGAGAGCCACCCTGAGAGAACAGACGGAATGATTCTTTGAACCACTGCTAAGGCGAAATAAAGGTCTAGTTTTAAAAATCCAAACGTTTCCGTAAAAAGACAAAGTCTTCATAATCTGAACTAAAAAAAATAATAATAATAATAATAATAATTGACGGCATCCTTTTGTCCATCCATCCATCCCAGTTGTCTTCGGGCAGCAGGCGGGGGACACCCTGAACCAGTTGCCAGCCAATCGCAGGGCACACAGAGATGAACAACCATCCGCGCTCACACTCACAACTTGGAGTGTTCAGTCAGCCTGTCGTGCATGTTTTTGGAATGTGGGAGGAAACCCACGCAGGCCCGAGGAGAACATGCAAACTACACACAGGGAGGCTGCAGCTGGAATTGAACCTGTGCACTGTGAGGTTGACGCGCTAACCACTGGCCCACCGGGCCTCATTGACGGCATAATGATTTGATTTACCTGGCTTGATCAGTAAGTTGAGCAAAAGTCTCCATTGCTTCGACCACAAGAGGATCCCCTGCAGAAAGACAATTCATGCTAAATTAAGAACCACTACACAACCACGTACGTGCATATGAATTGGTTGGGTTCGGTACCTCTAATTAGGTTAAGAACCACTGCACTAGACTGATTATAAAAAAGACCTGAAACATCATGTACCTTTTTTTAGGTAACATAAAAGATTGTATGATCACTGATTTAATGACAACTGATTTAAATTTGAGGACTTCAGATTTTACACCATTTTTTACAATCCTGACATTGGGACCATATAAATCAGATGAATTATTATTTTAATAATTGTTATTAGTTCCATTATCGACCATGAATGAACACTTGTTTAGTTTGAGACGGTAAATTGGAAAGAAGATCAATGAAACAGGATGTATTTCAGCACAGCAACTACTTTGTAGTCTTTGGTGAAAATTATTTAATGTCATCCACCGAAATCCGGGATTTTTATGCCTATAGAAAGAAATGGCTGTGGATTCATATTATGATGTACATCAGTGGGCGCGGTTATTGATGTACTGTATATTGTGAGATGATGAGATCGTTTGCAACAAAAGCAATCAGTTTACTGTAAACACAGATGGAGTGGGACACTGTTATTACATTGTGCAATATTTTTAGTAATTGCGCTCTCTTAATTACCGGAAGATGTGTTTGAATTAGTTTGTATTATTGTGTGTTGAAAGACCTTTAAAATGTTAAGTGCCGTAAATGCTCTAAAACCGCACCTTCAGAGTATTTTTATCGATTGGTTGATCGCGGTCAACCAGTAGCTCGCGGACTGGTCCCAAGTCGATCGCGAGGAGTGTGGAGGAAAAAAACCTAACAAACATTTGTGTGCATGTTCGTAATATATATATTTTTTGTGTTGATGCACACTGCACTCTAATCATCATATCAGTCTCACTTTCACAAAAAAGTAAAAAGTAAAACTAAAATAAAATAAAGCAGGTAATCTTTAACCTGCGGTGGCGTGCGACCTGCGTCACCGGAAGTTGTTAGCGCTCAGCAGTCTGTAATTGCAGCTTGTGTTGCGCTATATATTTTGGGAATCTGGAGGGCCGAGAGAAGCATTTTAAATCGGTACGCGTGAGCTACGATAGTTAATAGGCTTGCCTCTACGTCAGGCTGTTGCTCATCATGGTATAAGATCACCTTTATTTGTCCCACACTGGGGAAATTTGCAGTCTACAGCAGCAAGATTTGGGGGGGATAAAGTGTTTCATTGCACAAAATAAATGTTTCAGAAAAGATGGCGGGTGTAAGTGTGCGGTAACGGATCCCGTTTTTTATACTCATACAAATGTACATATGCGGGAGGTTGGTTGATCGAAAAGTAGATCTTCGATCAAAAAAGTTTGTGCACCGCTGCCATCGGGTATTTTGAAGTCAAGTTATTGGTGGTCTACAACGCAATCTTTTTCAACGAAAATGCAGCCTGAAAGAGAATTGGGGCCTACCATTGAGCCAGCGTTGTCGGATGTTGTTATGAATACGCCCTGAGTCACTCGGGTCACTCAAGTAGGCCAACCAGAATAGAGGTAGGCCACTCATATCCATGGAGATGTAGTTCCCTAAAAGTGGAAAATATCACACAAAAAGTACATTTATATAGTTATACTATAACCGGGTTTTTATATTTATATATATATATATATATATATATATATATATATATATAGGAATTTTCAGGAAAGTCCACTTTCATCTCTGGATATAAAAATAGAAGCCCAAAAACAAAAGGTTGCCTGTATTTAGATGTTGACCATGATGTGTGTGTGTTTGTTTCTGGATATTGTGTGTAAACCAGTATGTACTGTACTGTGATGTGAATACCGTAACCCTGCTCTTCCATGACCTTCTTGCTGAAGTCCATGTAAACTAAACCTTCGTAGACCTGCGCGACAAATCAAAAGCAATTTATTTGACAATAAAACTGACTTGACTTGACAACGCTTGTGCACATAGTAATGAAGCACATGTACATAATATTGGCAAAAGTAGTGAGATAGAGACACACTTCTTAATCAAAAAATGATTCAGGGATTGGGGGTGCAAGACCTCTCCGATTTCCCCAAATCAAGACATTTGAGATAATTTTATGTTTCTAACTTTGTGGGAAGAGATTAGGGATGGCTCTTTTGTACTCCACAATGACTGTGCTCCATTGCACCAAGTGTGCCCCATAAAAAGGATTGTTTGGAGGGGTTCGAGTCCTGATCTTAAGGAGGAAACTGAGCTGCGAGCAGCAGCCCAAACTGTATTCTTACCCTTCGTATCTTGAAATTTCTTTTGTAACAAGAGACAATATTTTCCAGCTAAGGCGTTTCGCAACTTGAAAATTTCGTATGAAGAGATGTTGGTAAGTAGAAGTACTACTGTCAGAGTTCTGTCTTCCTATATGCGACACTGGTATTATGGCGAAGTGTCTGAATACTTTTGGTATGGTTTGTTGTCATTTCCATGCAGGGGTGGACTGGGAGGGAAAAAAAATCTTCCCCTGCATGTTTGGCTTACACTGGCCCCTCATAATTAACAGAGCACAAATGACTGCCATTTGTTTGCTGAAAAAATGTACTTTACTATTTTCCCAAACCCAACTCTTAAATGTGGTCAGTGTGCCAGGACCCATTAATGTGCCGTAAGAGCTCCAACGGTGTGCCGCGGGACTCATCAAATTTTCATTTAACTCTTTTATTCTTCATGATGTATTAATACGTCAAGTCAAGCCACCTACAACCGCCGACCCATGACGTATTTATACGTCATCTCTGGGGGTTTTTTGTTTTGTTTTTTGCGTCGTACATTGCAGAAGAGTCTGACGCAGCCTCTGAAGAGGATCAGGCTTGTCTGCATTGTAAATGATTTAAAATCTGTCCATTAGGTGGCAGCGGGAGTAAAGAGATCAGCCAGGATCATATGCTGCAGGACAAGTAGAAGTAGAGGGGGAAGGATGCATGGGAGTGCATTCTCACCAGTAGCAGTGGAGAAATCAAAACAGCTTTTGGGGAAGTAAATCTTCCACCATGACGTGGGAGATGGAGTTGCTAAAAGCAGCAGGACGCTTTCGTTCGCACAAAAGTAACAAGTTGCCATTAAAAGAGGCTCCATGTGCACGAACATCATCTGAGTCATGCAAAAGTCACACCGCGGCCAAAGTGCCTTCGCAAAGTGAAACCGGAATGTCGTATAAGACGTGCGTGGTCTTGTATCAGGGCAATTGTCAAAATGCAGTAAACGGGGGGCTCGAGTGAAAATGGCTGGGATTCAATAAGTTAATTAGTGAGAAAATTATGTATTAATAACAAATAATTGATCTTTGTCCCTTTATACCAGCAACTCATGACAGAAAGAACAAATAAATGATCTATTAGATGGCATAAATTATGAAATTGACATATGTTTCCTCTTTTCGTGACAATTTTTTTTGGTGGTGTGCCGTGCGATTTTTCGAATCTAAAATATGATCCTTGGCTCAATAAAGGTTGTGAATCACCGACCTAAGAAATATGGATATGTAGACTGTTCTGGATAAGAGGAAGAAATTACTTGTATAATTCATATAGTAAACTGAACATGTAATTAAAAACAATTGCTACAATTTAAATCATTCCAACACTTGTCATGGGGATTAGCTCACAAATGACAAACAATTTTTTTCCAGGGGTTTTAAGAGAGGAGCTTTCCATAGTGATCACATCTATGGCCGTGACCTTACATTATTCTTTCTTATCTTTATGCGTGTGTGTTTTTTTTAGATGTTTCTTTTAAGTGTAAAAGAGGTTATACGTGTGTGTGCTGTACTTGTGCGCCATTTTATCGCACCCCAAGTTAAATTAGCGTTTATGGCAACCTACCCCTTTAGTTAACAGTGCCAAGTAGCTCTTAACATAAAAATTAAAATGCTTCTTCCAGTATTTCTAAAAGCTAAATACTATGCATTATTACATCTACACATTATTGTCATATTACGCCAGCACGTTCCACAGAGGAACAAGGTGCCTATGTACCAAGACCTACACGGTTCGGACAAGTGTCAATCATAAATGTGGAAGAATGGGCTGCCCCCTCTCAGATGGCGGCTGGTCTATTGAATAATAAAGAGCAAAAAGTGATGAATACGTTGTTTTAATAGCATCAGCCGGCCGCTGGATGGCTGTCGACACACCGGGCAAATGCCCGGTATACCCGACTGCCAGTCCAGTCCTGTTTACATGCGATAGTTACCTGCGCAACCCTGTCTTGAAGGCCTGCAGTAATGAAGAGTTCGTCAGTTTCCACATTAAGAATGAAGTTGGCTCGGACTGGCTTTGGGAGATCCTGGTATGGATGTAAATAAGACATTTCATATCATCTTAATATGAAAGCTGTTTTGCAATTTTGTTACTCTCACCAAGTGCAATTGATGTTTCATTTGGCGGTGTTTGTTCTAATGTTATTCTTGTAATTAGTTACTATTTTTTTTTTTTTTAGATGTAGTGGTAACAAATTTTTTATTATTATATTTTTAAATTATACAATACCCAATATAAATGACAGTGTTTTGCAAAATGTTTCAATCGACAAACAAAACTGTTCCCGTGAGCTAAATGTGAAATATTTTTAAAGTCTCTATTTGGAAACAAATCCAATTTTCAATGGAGTTGAATCATTTGGAATGACTTGACACGAAAGCACTTGGAGGCAGCAACAATAAAGACATGCCTGGGTGTCAGTGAGACAGTGTCAGGTTAACACCTGACCTCCTTACATCATCTGTGAGGTTGTAAAATTTCATGAGACACTTCAGGGTGGCTGAGACGATGGCACTGCACACAATATAGCAAGACCAGTAAATTATTTCATATTACGGTATGTGAATGAACCACATATATTAAAACCAGTGTAGATTCCATTGAAAAGCAAGAAAACATTTATAGTATGCCATTTGAATTAGCGACAAGGAAAGAAAGATATTAACCTGCTCCCAGCAAGGCCCTACAAAAAAGACAGACAGAAAAGGATGTTTAGATTCTTCTTTCAGGCTCCATTCGCACTGCAGGGCATGATGCCCAATTCAGATTTTTTTGTTAAATCCGATGTTTCTTATACACTCGTTCACATTCGGAAAAACAAATACGACTTCTCACGTGAACGCAACGCATCCCTGATATGACACGCGTGTGCACAAAGGACGGCGTGGAGTGATGCACCCCCCTCCCCCCAAAAAAACGTCACATGCTGCAGTGTTTACTATAAGTACAAAGGTGGTCATTTTATCATCTCATATCGCCAGAGGACGAGGCGGGAGGAGGTAGAAATATTTTGGGGATATGAGGCAACGCTCCTTGTATCCATCGATCCATTATCTGCCAGGGTCGGGTCGCGGGGGCAGCAGCTTTAGCAGGGAAGCCCAGATTTCCCTCTCACCAGGGAGGCGTTCAGGAGGCATCTTAATCAGATGCCATAGCCACCTCATCTGGCTCCTCTCGATGTGGAGGAGAAGCGGCTCGACTCTGAGCCCCTCCCGGATGACCAAGCTTCTCACCTTATCTCTAAGGGAGAGCCCAGACACCCAGCGGAGAAAACTCATTTTGGCTGCTTGTATCCGAGATCTCGTTCTTTCGGTCACGACCCATAGCTCGTGACCATAGGTGAGGGTTGGGACGTCGATCGACCAATAATTGAGAGCTTCGCTTTTTGGCTCAGCTCCTTCTTCAGGACGACAGACCGATACAAAGTCCGCACTTTCCTTGTACTCCTAATTTAAAGGAGGTATCTAAAGATGACGTTACGTCATTGCCGCTGGTAATAAATGAACCACCAGTGTGGCTGAATTACGACAATCACCACAAATGTCCACTTTATGCTTCATTATATTTTGAAGTGGGATGAGATTAAAGTTAAATGTAAACAACTTTGCAGATCACGGAGGAGCTCAGTCGTCTGCCGAGCACTCTCTTCCCCACTCACATGGAGCGCATACAGGGCTTTTGATGACGTTTTGGTCCGATGTGAATGGATGAGTGTTCACAGTGCAGTCACGTCGCATACATGTCCAAAATATATCCATATATGACAAAGCCACGGTTGGATTTAGGGAACAAAATTGATTGTACTGTTCACACTGCATGAAAAAAAAAGTGTCGCACATGTGCTTTTTTTTTTTTTTTTAATTGAGTTGTAGCATGAATATAGCCTCATTTTCTTATGAAGCAATTAGTACAGGAGTAGAAAACCTCACCACTTGTCGTGGAATGTTTGTGTCATACTTCAATGTGAAGTTCTGCTTTGTCAATGCGATGCTGTGGAGACAAATGTTGATGAAACACACAATGTTAATTACGAAATTTTTCAAGACATCGAGAGTCACTTGTATAAGCAGCAATGAAACGATGTCATGAAACGAGGTCCATGTTAAATATTCCAATATATCGAGATTGCAATATGCAACACCCCTATTACATATTGCATATTTTTCCAATATCGTATAGCCCTATTTTAAAATGATTAGAATTATATTGTATGGCATAGTTGGGTATCATTTCAGAATCTCAAGGCCGGTCCGACTCTTTTTTTGGAAAATCAAAATATGGTCACCTTTGTTTTATGCTCATCTGCAGCTCTGTTTACCTTTGGCATTTGACTTGATAGTGCATCCCTGAAGTCCAACAACTTGACTGTTGCCCTAGACTAGCGGCTAAGTCTTGGGCGAAAATTTCATTGTGGGGGCAGCCTTATGTTAATTTGCCCAACTGTTAAAGATGAACAGTAAAGAATTTCAGAATGGCCTACCGAGACAGGTAGATGAGCAGGCAGTCAAGAGATTCCAAGCATACACAAATATCCATAATATTTAAATATTTCACTTTAAGAAGAGCCGTCCCCTTAAACCGATTGGTGAATGATGACATTTTGTAAAGATAAAAATGACTAGTATCGTTTCTTTAAATAATGTAGTCAATCTTTGTGCTTTCGGAAAGTCTCACCCTTGTTGGCAGCAGAATTGGTAGAATTTCTTACAGGTTGCTTGCAGCAGCCGCAGGCCCCCAAAGTAACTGCAGTGGATAAACAGTAGGGTACAGTATCAATGTGACAATAACAGAAACTGAAATATGTTATTGTGTATTCAATCTCATGAGATTGTATCATACACACCCCTCTTTCCGACTGATACTGAACAAATCTTGTAAGCTTCCAAACTCGGTGGGGTCGTTAAGAGGATGAGGAACGAGGACCTAGAACGTCAAAGTAACTTAGTTGTTACTTTGTCGGTGATGATAATGTTGGCTGCACCAATGCGTATGTATGTACTGCTATACCAAACTTTGGCTTTTCACAAGGGTGACCTCGGCCCAGAAGTTCATGATCGTCATGGCAATGGTTTTCCCGTTAAAGCAGTCTGATGGATTTCCCATTAGTCCAACCCTGTTGTTATCAGTCAAAGTTATTGCAAGAAGCACATTCTCTTGGTGAGATGGAAAGATCTAAAGTAAAGGTAAACCATAATACTGCAATTAAATATCAATATAAATCAAAGTTAGTTATGACTATACAAACCTGGCAAAAGACCGAAACGTGATTGGTCTGTCAGATTTGTCCTGCTGCTTGTTGGAGAATCGGGTGAGCCACTTGGTGTAATCTGACAGACCCTGAGATGTTCAGAAACACACATGGTCAATAAGGGAGGATGAATGAAATGCAGAAGTGATTTTTTTGGGCAAATTCTCTTATACAACGCCACAAAAATCAGCATGCAGTTGAATTTGCGTACAAATTAGCAGTAAAACTTAAATGTCATTTGATCGCATCAGGCAAAGGTCAAAACAATTTGATGTTGACAATTGTTTTGCACATTCTGATGAATTCATAAACCAAATTTCTTCCTAAATTATACAAGAAGCAATGTAGCGATACACAAATCTCAATCATACACTACAAGACACTTTTACCTAGCAGATATTTGCTGAAGAAATGCTTAAGATACGCAGCACTCATTGCTGCAAATCGATCGGGTAAGGCATAACAACGCTCAATGCATGGTACAACAGGAACTAGTAAAATGATGATGTAAAAAACGAAGCGCATACCACTTGTCCAATTAGCTGGAATCCAGTTGGGAGCTTCATTCCAAACACATCAAGCAGATTCTGGTTGACAATATGCTCCTATGGGGGGAAAAAATGGTTTTATCAGCATTAGCTTGTTTAGCTATGAGAGGTTTTGTTCCAAAGTTACCTAAGTGCAGTGGAACCTGCCAAGTGGATTGTCCTTGAAGTGAAACAATTTGGAATTCAACATTTATTAGGAAGATTCCACCTTTAAGATCACTTTCACAACTATGGTTGATGCCCTTCAGGTATACAAGAATCTGAAGTGTGTTTTTGTATCGTCTTTGTCATTTTGTGTTTTTTAAGATGCCAACCTACCACACCTTGCCTTTACGAATGCAATGGCATGATAAACGGATAGCATAATTGCTAAAAAATAGCACACGCAGGTGTCTCTGTCCTGGCTGCTTGGTACAATATGGCGAAAGCATAAATGGACATAATTAATGATAGAAGAAGAGACTATGGAATACACAGAATATAGACATATTTTACTATACAGAGATTAGCTTGCTTTCTATTCTTGAATGTCAGTTAAAAAGGTTAAAAAAGATGCTCCACTTTCCTAAAGGCTGTTAGAATGAGTAGTTTTGTTTCATCTGTGTGTGTGTGTGTGGGGGGGGTCATGCAGCAGGCGGGGTACAC